GTAGTTGTGGCTCGTGGGCTCTAGAGCGCAGGCTTAGTAGTTGTGGCACACGGGCTTAGTTGCTCCGTGGCATGTGGGATCTTCCCAGACCAGGGCTCGAACCCATGGCCCTGCACTGGCAGGCGGATTCTTAACCACTGCACCACCAGGGAAGTCCCATTTCATGCTTATTTTAACAAACAAAGAAAAGTGTAGAATTTGCTTAAGAAAAATAAAAGTATATATTATTTGTCCAAAGTACGTTTAAGGTAATATGAAGCTGAACCATATGAAAATGTCATTTTTGTAAGTCAAAAATGATTAAATATGACAATTTTATGTGGCCCAACCTAATAAAACCTACCAGTGCACTATAACATACCATAACATATAGCAAATCATTGAGTTTGCCCATTCTGAGAAGACAGATATACATTTTTCTTCATTTTTTAGTATCAACAATTATCTTCTATCAAATAAATTTAGTCTTACTAGATGCCAAAAACACTTGCTGTGGACATTTTTAAAATACGTTATCAAATTTATAAGAGAATTTGATGGTAATATTTTTAATGGTAACGAAGGGGCAACAGGGTATAAAATGTACTGATGAACTGGCTCAACCTATAATGTTTTTAAAGCCCTCATTGATCTCTGGGCTGATATTCTAGGACTCAGGGATTTTTCCAGAGCCATCACAGAATTAGAGAAGATATACTCACACTGTAGATCTCCCTAGTTCCTTGGAACTTAAAATCTCAGGAAAAATGAGGGTTAATATAAATAGTTTTTTTTTAAAGTAATTGTGGCAGCTAACACTTAAATAGTGTTTACTGTGCCAGGCACTGTTCTAGGTGCTTTACATGTATTAACTCATTTAGTCCTCACAGCAATACAGTGAAGTAGGTAGTACTGTCATTAGTCCCATTACACAGATGAGGAAGTAGAGATACAGAACAGTTTGTACAAAACTTATACAGCATGTAAGTGCCTGCGCTGAAATTTAACCCTAAGAATTCTGGCACCAGAGTTGGTACTTAACCAACAGTAAACTGCCTCTCAATATAAAGAAGGTCTAGTATCATTCAGTCAATTCTAATATAGTGCAAGGTTGCTATATTAGTTGAAATACTAAGTTCCTTAATAGAGCTTGTCAAGTTTCTTTCCATTCTAATAGCTGCTATTCTGGACTGTTGCAATAGTTCCAATAGTTCTTTAGCTAGGATACAGATTTCTAATCTTCTCCCCCATTTCTAGGCCAGCCTGCATCCTGCTGCTAGATTAATACAAGTAAATCATCACTTCAGTCCTGTTACTACCTTGCTCAAATTGCTTTAATGACTATATTTCCACTGCCAGGAAAGGATGTAAATGAGAGCACCCCCTAGGATCTGGTAGCATAGCTCACCACAAGCTCAGTATTTCTTGGAAGTTTCCTGTTTTATCTTAAAAATTTGCACAAATTTTACATCCCACTCCATAGTACATCTGTTTGTTTTAATATAAAAATAATGTATTAAATTTAAATAAATGTTTTAAAATAGTGTTTTAAATTAAAATTTAAATTACTTAATTCTGCAAATTTTCAAATAAAATTGATGAGCCAGAAAGATGCTTTATATTTATTCTGGGCCTTCTAATGTCACATGAGGTTTGCATTCTCCTATTTGAAGAGCCTGGGTATTCAGGATAGATTTTAGGTGCCTTTGCTTCTTATTTATTTATTTATTTATTTTTGGCTGCGTTGGGTCTTTGTTGCTGTGCACGGGCTTTCTCTAGTTGTGGAGAGCGGGGGGCTACTCTTCGTTGTGGTGCGCGGGCTTCTCATTGCGGTGGCTTCTCTTGTTGCGGAGCATGGGCTCTAGACACACAGGCTTATGTAATTGTGGCTCACGGGCTCTAGAACTCGGGTTCAGTAGTTGTGGCGCACTGGCTTAGTTGCTCCACAGCATGTGGGATCTTCCCAGACCAGGGATGGAACCCATGTCCCCTGCATTGGCAGGCAGATTCTTAACCACTGAGCCATCAGGGAAGCCCTGCTTCATATTTTAGAGTCTAAGTTATCTGGCCATATTCCAACCTTCCCGTCTTATAGCTTGCTGTTTCCCTGTATTCATCCTCTGATAAATCCATCTACCCATCCATAAGTATTTACCACATACCCTCCTAAAGATGTCATGTACTGTATACCACCTATATATCTTGGCTTTTGTCCTTTCTCCCCGCTTTGTAATATAGACATACCTCATTTTATTGGACTTTGCTTTATTGCACTTCACAGATATTGCATTTTTTACATATTGAACGTTTGTGGCAACCCTGCGTTAAGCAAGTCTTTTGGCGCCATTTTTCCAACAGCATTTGCTCACTTCATGTCTCTGTGTCGAGTTTCGGTAGTAATTCTTGCAATATTTCAAACTTTTTAATTATTATTGTATTTGTTATGGTGATCTGTAATCAGTGATCTTTGATGTTACTGGTGTAATTGTTTTGGGGCACCAGGAACCACACCCATATAAGATATGGAACTCAACCAGTATTGTGTGTGTTCTGACTGCTTCACTAACTGGCTGTTCCCCCATCTCTCTCCCTCTCCTTGGGTCTCCCTGTTCCCTGAGACAAAACAATATTGAAATTAGCCCAACTAATAACCCTACAGTGGCCCCTAAGTGTTCAAGTGAAAGGAAGAGTTGCACATCTCTCCCTTTAAATCAAAAGCTAGAAATTATTAAGCTCAGTGAGCAAGGCATGTAGAAAGTTAAAACAGGTTGAAAGCTAGGCCTCTTGTGCCAGACAGTTAGCCAAGTTGCGAATGCAAAGGAAGAGTTCTTAAAGGAAATTAAAAGTGTGAGTCCAGTGAACATATGAATGACAAGAAAGCAAAACAGCCTTATTGCTGATAGAAAGTTTTAGTGGTCTTGGATAGAAGATCAAACCAGCCACAACATTCTCTGAAGCCAAAGCCTAATCCAGAGTAAGGCCTTAATGCTCTTCATTTCTGTGAAGGCTGAGAGAGTTGAGGACGCTGCAAAAAAAAAAGTTTAAAGTTAGCAGAGGTTGGTTCATGAGGTTTAAGAAAAGAAGCCATCTCCAGAGCATCAAAGTGCAAGGTAAAGCAGCACGTGCTGATGTAGAAGCAGCAGCAAGTTACCCAGAAGATCTAGCCAAGATAATGAAGGTTAAGAAAGAGAAAAACAAATACTGTATGCTAACACATATATATGGAATCTAAAAAAAAAAAAAAAATGGTTATGAAGAACCTAGGGGCAGGACAGGAATAAAGATGCAGACGTTGAGAATGGACTTGAGGACACGGGGAGGTGGAATGGTAAGCTGGGATGAAGTGAGAGAGTGGCGTGGATTTATATATACTACCAAATGTAAAATAGATAGCTAGTGGGAAGCAGCCTCATAGCACAGGGAGATCAGCTTGGCGCTTTGTGATCACCTAGAAGGGTGGGATAGAGAGGATGGGAGGGAGACGCAAGAGGGAGGAGCTATGGGGATATATGTATATGTATATGTATAGCTGCTTCACTTTGTTATACAGCAGAAACTAACACACCATTGTAAAGCAATTATACTCCAATAAAGATGTTAAAAAAAAAAGATAATGAAGATTGGTACACTATACAACAGATTTTCAGTATAGCCCTATGTTGGAAGAAGATGCCGTCTAGGACTTTCATAGGTAGAGAGGAGAATTCAGTGCCTGGCTTCAAAGCATCAAAGGATAGGCTGTCTCTCTTGTTGGGGCTAATGCAGCTAGTGACTTTAAGTTGAAGCCAGTGATCATTTACCATTCTGAAAATCCTAGGGCCCTTAAGAATTATGCTAAATCTGCTCTGCCTGTGCTCTATAAATGGAACAACAAAGCCTGGGAGACAGCACATCTGTTGACAACATGGTTTACTGAATATTTTAAGCCCACTGATGAGACCTACTGCTCAGAAAAGAGATTCCTTTTGAAATATTACTGCTCATTAACAATGTACCTGTCACCCAAGAGCTTTGATGGATATGTACAATGAGATTCATGTTGTTTTCATGCCTGCTAACACAACATCCATTCTGCAGTCCATGGATCAAGGAGTAATTTCAACTTTCAAGCCCTATTCTTTAAGAAATACGTTTAATAAGGCTATAGCTGCCATAGATAGTGATTCCTCTGATGGATCTGGGCAAAGTAAATTGCAAACCTTCTGGAAAGGATTCACCATTCCAAATGCCATTAAGAACATTTGTGATTCATGGCAAGAGGTCAAAATATCAACATAAATAGGAGTTTATAAAAAATCGATTGCAACCCTCATGGATGACTTTGAGGGGTTCAAGATTTCAGTGGAGAAAGTAACTGTGGATGTGGTGGAAACAGCAAAAAACTAAAATTAGAAGTGGAGGCTGAAGATGTGGCTGAATTGCTACAATCTCATGATAAAACTTGAATGGGTGAGGAGTTGCTTCTTAAGGATAAGCAAAGAAAGTGGTTTCTTGAGGTGGAATCTACTCTTAATGAAGATGCTGTGAAGATTGTTGAAATGACAGTAACTTAGCTGATAAAGCAGCAGCAGGGTTTGAGAGGATTGAGTCCAGTTTTGAAAGAAGTCCCGCTGTGGGTATGGGTAAAATGCTATCAAACAACATTGCATGCTACAGAGAAATTGTGAGAGCAAGAGTCAATCAATGCACCAAACGTCACTGTTGTCTTATTTTAAGAAATTCCCACAGCCACCCCAGCCTTCAGCACCCACCACCCTGATCAGTCAGCAGCCATCAACATCGAGGCAGGACCTTCCACCAGGGAAAAGATTATGACTCACTGAAGGCTCAGATGTTTGTTAGCATTTTTTAGCAATAAAGTTTTTTAATTAAGGTATGTACACCGTTTTTTAGACATAATGCTATTGCACAATTAATAGACAACAGTAGAGGGTAAACATAACTTTTATATGCACTGGGAAACCAAAAAATTTGTGTGAGTTGCTTTTTGAGAATAATATTTGCTTTATTGCAGTGTTCTGGAACTGAACCTGCAGTATCTCCGAGGTATGCCTGTACCCTCTCTCCTCACTTCTGTTAAAGTGCTAATCTTTCAAGACCTAATTCATTTACTAGCTTTTCCTGACTACTCCAGTCAGGACTTTGAATTCCTGTGATACTTACTCAATGCTTATTATACAACAGGTTGCATTTTTAATATTTGTTTGACTAAGTCTTACACATAAACTTTTTAAGAGTTCAACATGCAGAGAAGCAAAAAAAAAGGACATTTCGGGCAGTGGACACGGTGTGTACAAAGGCACAGAATTATGAAGTAGCACAGAGTATCCCAGTAAATGCTAGGTTGTTTACTATAGCTGGAATGTAGAGTATATACTGGGAATGTGAGAAAAGTAGGAATCAAACCATGAAAGAATATATAACTCATGCTACGAAATGTACATCTCACCTGCCCCAGCCCCTACCATAATTAATGGGAATTCATCAAAGAAATCAAATAGGAAAGATTTATTGTATTAGTTTTAATCAACTTTGATGTAATTTCTCTAGGTTTTAATATTCTTCATTTTCTTAGATCTTATTTTATATACCAGTAAAATTATCATATTTTTATGCAGTCTTTTTTCTTAATCTAAATATATCCTCCATATACTCAGTGTGTATACACATATATATATAGACACATATAGAGAGAGGAATTGTTCATTGCTTTAAAGGATGGGATTACACACACACACACACACACACACACACACACACACCAGCACCTTGCATTTCTCACTCTACAGTGCTTTGTAGAAATAGCTCTAATTTAGTTTTTTAATGACTGCAATATTGTGTAGTATGGAGGTACCAAATTTTTTTTAACTATTCCCCTATTTGTAGACATTCATCTTGTTTCCAGTTTCTTTATATTTTTTAAGGAGGTATAGCTAAATCAAACCTTATGTTTATCTGACTAAATTTCACTGTAGCCTATGATTAATTCACCATAAACTATTAAATAATCCATGTAGGTTTGGGTATATAAGATGAAGTAAATTTATATTGATAATTTCTTATTATGATACTGTCTCATACCCTCTGTTTGCTACCAAATTGGTGGATATTTAGCAGTTGTTCCCAGTAGTACTATAACATCATAATGCATGAAATAGACCCATTTGATGACTCAAATTTTAAGTTAATGTATAGTGATACCTTATATATTAAAAATAGGGATATTACAATAATATTTTCTAAACTGACATGTTAACAGGAATTTTATGACAGAAATGTTCCATGGTCAAATTATTCGGGAAAATATACTGAATTGAACTGGGTTCTGCAAATGTTCGCATTTCTCTAAGAGTGCATTATTCCATGAAATGCCATTTGGTAAGGAGTGCTCTACATTATTCTAAAATAATATAGACATCTGAATTGTGTTCAGACATAAGAGTAGATTTTCAAAGGCCATTTTTTGTGACACCATTTTGATAGACGTGTACTGTTGGTCCCCCGATAGTACAGGTCTGGGAAAGATGACCCACTCAGATTGCTGCTAATTTGTCTAAGTGTTATTCCCAGTACCCCTCCTATAGTTAATACATCTATTAATCAATCACAAAAGCTTGGAATTCCAGTGATACTGGATTATGAATATTGTAAAGCCTACCCAGTACCTTCCTTACCTTCATAGTTTTGCAAACTTTTCCTGTTCCATCTGCCCATAATCCTCTCTTGTTATGTTTCTGTATATTAAGATCTCAGTTTTCTTTAAATGCTCCCTTGTTTTTGAAGCTTTCTCCAGTGGGAATTAAAACCATTCCTTTTCTGACTTTCTCATACCGCTTCGCCTTTCTTTCAGTAATTTAACTTCCTGCCTTATGATTCACACAGTTGTTGTTCATGTACATTACAGTAGATGTTGTGCCATGACCTCTAGTTCATGTGGAGGAGCTCATAGACCAGCTGAGGATAAATAAATTTATACAATGTGATGTGATATGTATTTATAATGGTACACAATGCTAGTGGTAAAAGGAATGACATGAGAAACTATGGACTAAAACGTTTGAATGTAAATTAGCTTATATAACTAAGATTTTAGCTTTATTTAGAATGTTTAAGTCTAGAACTGAAGTAGAATGTTGTACTGGTTATTGTACGTAACTTTCTCTTCCACTTAGCTTATAATTGCTCTGAACACCTGGCCTGTATATTACTTATTTTGCTGTTTTCTATTGTACCTATAGCACTCCTATAGATAAATAGAATACATTCAATAAATGTTTGTTAGATTGAATTAATTTTTAGAAGCTGCAATTTTAAAAAAATTTATTCTCACAATCTGAAATTTGATAGTTTATGTCTGTATATTCAGACTGCTATTTTATTCTTAATTTAAGACATAGTTATAGGGAAGGCGACAACATTTTAAAATCTTTATTATTTTTTGACTCTCAGAAGCACTTTTGGAAACTGTAGACTTACTCCATGGATACTGCCTTTGCACAAAATATTTATGGAATTGCTTTTGTTCCTTAACATACTATTTTGCATGCACATTACTAGTTTAATCTGAATTCTTAAGCCAACTAAATGTCATGTCAAACTAAGCTTAGTGGGTCAAAAGTTATGTATGCCTTTTGGGGTCAGAAACAACAAGGGATCTTGTGTCGTACAAAAGTTAACTGTAGAGGCAATTACAAAAGAGAAATTCCAGAAATATTTTCACAATTCTGGCATTTCTGGGCTTGTTTACAGCCTCCGAAGATAACCATTTTGAAGGACAAAAGTGACTTAAAGTATATTTATTAAAATACCACATTCTTCATAGTCCAGTTTATTAAGAAAAGTTGTTGGTTTTGTTGGACTGGAATTTAAGCATTTTATTATGTTTCCTGACTAATTATCTGTCTAATACTATTTTTAATTGGTATTAAACTTTTACCAGTGACCCTGATATTATAACTTGTTTTTAATTAAAGAATAGCATTCTTATCTCATCATTTTCTTTCTTTAAAAAAATGCCATTACAGCCCAGTTTTTTTTTTTCATTTTGTATTGGATATTTTCCATCATGAAAAAAATGTATACATTCATGCTCATGATTTTCTCATTATTATATTCATTGTTATCATTAGGTATTGATAATAGAAGATGAGACCAAAGTCATCCTTATTACCTGATTATCTGATCCTTTACCTAAAGGAGCGTAATCTAGAGATAAGACCTCGGAGATATCAGATGAAGCAAATACTGTAAAGCAGCATTTATTTCAATTGCACTTATTTCGTTTCTGAGAAATTAAACAGGAGTTGAGCTAAAGTTTACTTTTGCTTTAGCCAGAAAGAAAAGAATTGTCAGTCATATTAATCCTGTAGACATGAAGAGATGGATCTATTTAAGAAAACAAATGCCTTTTTATACCCTTTGAGGTCACTTGGGATATCATTTATTTCTAATTTTTATTCTGAATTCAGAGTATTTTATTTTATACATTTATAAAATCAGCTTTTATAGGGACTAGGTACCATTTTTCAATTTCTCTTTAATTTGTGTTTTACTTATAAATAATAAAATAATTGTACTACTCTAGACTTTACTAATTAAGTCTGATAAAATTCACTTGTAAGTAATTAGTACAGAATACATATTTTCAAAAGGATTCAAACAGGTTTATGGAGCATACAACTTTAAATATCAAAGGGTAAAATAGAGATTTGGGGTGTACTAGCCTAACCTTTTAAATCTGGTAGATAAGGAAGCTGTCTGAGCTGCTGTCACATGCATGACCTGGAATAATTTGGACAATTGGGCATTCTTATATTTTTTATGCAAAATATATATTCACAAATACTATCCATCATGTCCAGATTTTTAATAAGGTACTTTGATTTTTGTGAAAATAAGTTATAACTATTACAAGGATAGTATACTTTGTGAAGAAATTGGGCTTGTGTTATTACAATTTTTAACAATTAACATTTGCATACTCTTTTACGTTTATCCAAGATTTTTATATTTATTATCTCAGTTCATCTTAGAAACAGTAGAGATAATACTTACATGGTTGATAGGAGTTAAGACTCATTTAGCTGAAGAACACTTGCCCTTTCTGCCCTCCCCTCCCCCTCCCCTCCCTCCCCACTCCACACACACAAGCTTAGGCTAAAAGGAGATATTGTGGTTTATAGGATAGAATGGTCTCCAGAAAGACTAATCTGAGGCTCGCAGTTCTTATCCCCTGAATTGGCTTCATTGTCAGCTCCACACTTGGCGTCACTGACAGTTTTGAGTGTCAGCGGTCCTGATCTGATTAAGTATCCATCCTGATCTGATTAAGTATCCATCACTGTGGACAGAGGGATAGGGGGCTATGCAGACTGGCTTTGGCAGTTAGGCCCACCTCTAAAGCTGTCGAACGGGTGAGTTGTCAAAAGGAAAATTGGTATACAGTTAGCAGACATAGCAGGAAAGCATGGTGGAGAGACAAACTTCAAGTATCCACTCCAGCAGGTATTATCATCTCTTAACAGATGAGAAAATGGATAGTCAGAGAGGCTAAATGATCTGCCCAAACTTAGGTCCTCTGCTTACAAATTCTGCTCCAGGCTGCCTTAAAGGAAAAGGAAAGTAAGAATGGATAAGACAAAAGAGGTGGTTCCAGGTATTTATTTCTAGTTGGTGTTTTGAAGTGAACCAGGCAATATTGATTTTAGGGTGATGATTAGGGTTAGAGTTGTTGAACAAGACATTTGTGGGAAATAAAATGTCGTGAGGTCTGTGCAAGGGAGTAGTAGGAGATACAGTAGACATGATCCTTAACATCCAGAGTTAGGATTTGGGCATAAAAATTAAAATAGCTAGCATTTATTAACCATTCCTTATGCCTCAGGCACTGTGCTAAACACTCTTCCTATAATATATGTTAACACTCACAACATTCCTATGAAATGAGCATTTTACAGATAAGGAAGCATAAACAAAAAGAGATTTAATATCTTGTCCAAGACTATATAACTAGAAAGGGTTAGAGTCAAGATTTGAACCCAGGAGGTCTAGAACCCACCACAGTGCCTGTTTTTGTTTTTCATTGTTACCAGTTAAAGTAGCAATGTTTAGTTACCTGCCATGTGCTGGCTGCCATAGCAGATATTTGTCCGGTGTGACACCTGTTTTCTAGAAACTTACCCTTTATGGTTGGACAGTACAGCAGTTCATACGCAGCCACATTTAAGAATTTAAATTTGAATTGCTAAGTTCCTACAGATCATTGTTAATGTTAATTTTATACTGTTTTGTTCTATATTTATCAAAGTTACACATGCACATAGTTTAAAAAATCAAGTAGTCCTACAAGACTTATTTTTAAAAGAAATTAGCAGTTTCCTGTTCTACACCTCTTTTCACCATTTTTCCAATTACCAGAAGCAATCACTTTCGGTTCTTTCTAGGTGTTTCTTTTGGTGTTTATGAAGAAGAATATCTCTAAATAAATGATGATTATTTCTACTTCTTGATTTTTTTTCAGCTTCACATTTAATCCATTAATTTCCCACTGCTCATGTTTAAAGAAAGGGGGATATCTGGATAATACATAATTGGGGCTTGATGACTGTGCATTCCATAGATCTGACTATGCTGTTTTGTTCAGGAACTCCCAGTGTCAATTTATTGAGAACTTTAATCCAGTTTTTAATCCAGTTAGATTCTCTTTAATCCAGTTAGATTCTCCAAAGAAGAATCTTTCACTCTCCTACCTAGAGGTTATAAGATGCGCTACTAGCATTTTACAAACTAAGTAGAAGAGGACTTGGGATGTCATATTCAAAGTATAAAATTTCATTCAGTTCTGTTTTCAGTAGAGTACTCTGCTGACCAGAATTCTCCAAATTTCCCAGTTTGGGAACCTTCTGTTTTACCACTCCAAAGAATAAACATTGTCTTCGGCTAGGATGATAGAGGGAGGGGTACTTGTCCAGTTGCAGATGGTAGAGAGGGAATGCAAGAGACTAATTCTTAAACAGACTTCCAACCAGCCTTGCTCTTATTTCTACCTTTAAACTACTTCCATAAGTCTGGGTGCTACCAATTACTAAGTTTCTTGGAAACTGTAATGCAAATAAAACTTTTTCCTGGCTTTATCTCCTACTAGTTTAAGATTTAGTTTGTTTGGATTTGCTAAGTCAGTTAGCTGTAGTCCTTCTGCTGTCTAGTTTCCAAATTTTGGTACTGTCATTCATCCCTCATTCTCTTTTTCTTTCTTGTTTCATGCTTTTTAATGAAATATTTAATATTATATTGTATTTTAATGTGGTTTTGAAAGGGCATGGAATTAAGTATATGTTCAATCTACCATCTTTAACCAGAAATCAACATTATTATCTACTGAGTAGTTTTTCTTTCTAACATGTGTTAGATTTGAGATAAATACTTAGTCTACTGCTGCGGTTCTTGCTGTGGTCTCCAGTTGTGAGGACCAGGTACTCTTCACCCTGTTTCCTCAAACCCCAGTCTCCTTAATGTCTGCCAGATCAGTCTTAGTCACTTTTGCACCCCTCTCATGGCAAAGGCTTCAGTAACTTTTCAGATGTTCTGCCACAATGCACTGGTACTCTCTGAATCCAAAGATGTCTTCAGACAAATCCTCCCAGCTACCTTTCTCAGTCGTCATCTTCAGTACTCTACCCTCAGATACCTCAACGCTCTTTTTTGTCTGGTGGACAGTATTTTTTTTCCTTTCCATGGGAAAACACCTGTTGTGTCGTCTTGCGTTCTTATCTACTCTAGTTTTTACAGTATAAGCTTTATGAAAATAATATATAATAATGCAGCTCTCTATGTACTGAAGTGATCAATTGACAAAACATATTACATAAAGAAAGCAAGGTATAGAACAGAGTGTATAACCTGCTCCATTTCTGTAAATACATGTATAGATATGGCAATGCATTAAACATTTCTGGAAGAATACATGAGCGGTAGCAGGGATTGCCTCTGGGGAGGGAAAATAGATGTCTGGGGGACAAGACTGGATGGGAAATTTTTCACTGCCTTTTTATATCTCTCAAATTCTATATCATGCAAATAACCTATTCAAAAATAAATAAAAGATAATTATAAAACATTTATAATTTGGCTTCTTCAGTCCTGCCAAGCTCCAGATCATCTGATTCTCATCCACAGACAGAAAGTAGCTCTTTTGGCAAAGCTATCTTTTTTTCCCTTCTCTGCTTCCTGATGTGCCACTCTTTCTTGTAGAACTTTATTGAAGGCTGCATGAAGCAGCAGCCTGCTCCAACATTCTGAATTTTTCCCCTTCATTAGAAGGGAAAACACTTCAGTAGGAAGATGGCCTGAGTCCCAAATATATCAGATGGTGGTTTAGCCACTTTGCTAACTTGCCAGACTAAGATAGAGGGGTCCGCACTACCCTTCACCTGACCTCTTTGGCCAGGCCAAGACTGTATTTTAAGGTCTGTTACTTGCAAGAATTTTTATTATCTGCAGGCCTATCACACTGAATAGATGTTTAATTAATTATGATGCATATAAATGCATGAATGAATAATTTTTATTTACAGGAATAATCCACCTAATTTTAAATGTATTAACTAATAGGGATTTTAAAAGTCTGTATTTTAAATTTCCCAACTGTTCAGTAATTATAGCTGTCTTTTTTCCCCCTGATTCCAAGATCCAGTCAAGGATCATGCATTGTATTCAGTTGTCATATCCATTTAATCTCCTTTAAACTTAAAAAAAGAAAAATTCCCAGCCTTCTTATGTCATGTTGTTGACATGTTTTAAAAGTCTGGGCAAATTGTTTGCAAGATGTCTCTTAATTTAGATTTTTCTGATTTTTTTTTGATTATTAGATTGAGATTAAACGTTCTTGGCAAGAATATTCCATTGGTGATGTTGTGCTTTCTCAAGGTATCATATCAAGTGTAAGAGGACATTAGTAACACAGTAGAAAAGCACACTACTATGGTTTGATGGAAGATCCAGTTTGAGTTTTTCAATTCTACTTGCTTTAACTTTACACTAAACAGGTAGTTTCTAAGTGGTTTCTACTTAAATAGACCAGGTAGCAGGAAATAGTATTATATCCAGTCCATTTGCTATCATTTTGGAACAACAAAAAGTTGCCTTTTTAAATTTATCAGTTCTTGTGAGTTTGTAACAGTTTGGGGAGCTCTGATGAAATCAACTTTCTGATTTGCAAAGCTGAGGGCTAGGTGGTAATAATATCCATTCATAGCACTGAAGTGAGAATTACTTGAGATGTTAACAGAAGTAAAATATCACTGAAAGTAATATGGTCTGTGAAGAGTCTCTATTAATATAATCAACCCCACTCAGGTATTTCTCTTTAAAAACCACATATATGGCATACACTATTGTTATTGTATCTGACACTGTTGTACTTTATGAATATTAATCTTTATAATAACCCTTCTACTTGGGTACTGTTATTATCCCTATTTACAGATGAGGAAACTAAGGCACAGAGAGGATAAGTAATGTTCCCAAGGTCATGTAACAAATAAGTGGTAATGGGGGACTTCCCTGGTGATCCAGTGGTTAAGACTCCACGCTTCCAATGCAAAGGGCGTGGATTCAGTCCCTGGTCGGGGAACTAGATCCCGCATGCATGCCGCAACTAAGAAGCCCACATGGCACAACAAAGGTCCCTCATGCCACAGCTAAGACCCAATACAGTCAAAAGTAAATAAATAAAATGGTTAAAATGGTAAATTAAAAAAAAAAAAATAGGACTTCCCTGGTGGCACAGAGGTTAAGAATCCACCTGCCAATTCAGGGGACACGGCTTTGATCCCTGGTCCGTGAAGATCCCACATGCCGCAGAGCAGCTAAGCCCATCCTCCACAACTACTGAGCCTGTGCTCGAGAGCCCACGAACCACAACTGCTGAGCCCGCTTGCCACAACTACCGAAGCCTATGCGCCTAGAGCCCATGATCTGCAACAAGAGAAGCCACCACAATGAGAAGCCCACGTACCGCAATGAAGGGTAGCCCCCGTGCACCGCAACTAGAGAAAGCTTGCACACAGCAACAAAGACCCAATGCAGCCAAAAATAAATAAATAAATTTATTTTTTTTTAAAAGTGGTAATATTTCCAACTGTTTTTCTGTGAGACCCCACTTGAAAACAGGCAGCAGCCTATATAGCTCCAGTGTGTACTTAAGGATAATTTACATTCCTTTAAATAAATGTGTGTGTCTATGTTATTTCTGTTACAGAGAGAAGAGGTACTCCTTTATAGGGACTCGTAAAGGCATAGAGCATCTAGAGATTTACTGCCTCCATTACGCTGCTGGGTCTCACAGCACATGTTATGTTTTTATCAGTTCTCTGCAGAAGGTAGGAGTTGTTTTCTCTGCATGAATTCTTCATATAATTATAGTTTTCTTGTCTGTGAACTTAATATTTATTGAATATGAAAAACATCTGACATCTATAGATTAAAATGCCAATTGGGAGATTGGGATTGACATATATACACTAATATGTATAAAATGGATAACTAATAAGAACCTGCTGTATAAAAAAATAAATAAAATTCAAAAAATAAATAAAATGCTGGACTTCTCGAAATAGTTGACATACAAACACCTCTAAAGAATATTTCTATTATAAAATTAATACATGTTTATTGTAAAAACAAGAAAAGACAATATGGAAAAGTAGAGTAATCTTACCACCTTGAGATAAGTACTTTTTATATGTTGTCATGTCTTTCTGAATTTATTGATATATGTCTATATGATGCATAATAATACATATATATTATGCATTATGTATTATTATATACATATGTACATATATTATGACTAGAAATAATAGAATATAAATGTTCCTTGGCTAGAATGCTTCTTTTTTAATTTTTTAAATTTAATTTAATTTTATATTAGAGTGTAGTTGATTTACAATGTTGTGTTCATTTCAGGTGTACAGCAAAGTGATTCAGTTATACATATACCTATATCCATTCTTTTTCAGATTCTTTTCCCATATAGGTTATCACAGAATATTGAGTAGACTTCCTTGTGCTATACAGTAGATCCTTGTTGATTGTCTACTTTATTTATAGTACTGTGTATATATCAATCCCAATCTCCCAATTAATTCCTCCCTGCCAATTTCCCCCTTGGTAACCATAAGTTTGTTTTCTACATTTGTAACTCTGTTTCTATTTTGTAAATGAGTTCATTTGTATCATTTTTTTAGATTCCATATGTAAGCGATATTATACGATACTTGTCCTTCTCTGTCTGACTTACTTCACTCAGTATGACAATCTCTGGGCCCATCCATGTTGCTGCAAATGGCATTATTTTGTTCTTTTTTATGGCTGAATAATATTCCATTGTATATATGTACCACATCTTCTTTATTCATTCCTCTGTCGATGGACATTTAGGCTGCTTCCATGTCTTGGCTATTGTAAATAGAGCGGCAGTGAACATTGGGGTGCATGTATCTTTTCAAATTATGGTTTTGTCCAGATATGTGCCCAGGAGTGGGATTGCTGGATTATATGGTAGCTCTATGTTTAGTTTTTTAAGGAACCTCCATACTGTTCTCCATAGTGGCTGTAGCAATTTACATTCCCACCAACAGTGCAGGAGGGTTCCCTTTTCCCCACACCCTCTCCAGCATTTATTGTTTGTAGACTTTTTGATGATGGCCATTCTGACTGGTGTGAGGTGATAACTCATTGTAGTTTTGATTTGCTTTTCTCTAATAATTAGTGATGTTGAGCATCTTTTCATGTGTTTGTTGGCCATCTGTATGCCTTCTTTGGAGAAATGTCTATTTAAGTCTTCTCATTTTTTGATTGGGTCGTTTGGTTTTTTGTTATTGAGCTGCGTGAACTGTTTATATATATTGGAGATGAATCCCTCCCTGGTCACTTCATTTGCAAATCTTTTCTCCCATTATGTGGGTTGTCTTTTCATTTTGTTTATGGTTTCCTTTGCTCTGCAAAAGCTTTTAAGTTTCATTAGGTCCCATTTGTTTATTTTTGTTTTTGTTTTCATTACTCTAGGAGGTGGGCCAGAAAAGATCTTTCTGCAATTTATGTCAGAGAATGTTCTGCCTATGTTTTCCTCTAAGAGTTTTATACTTTGCCACCTTACGTTTAGGTCTTTAATCCATTTTGAGTTTATTTTGTGTATGATGTTAGGGAGTGTTCTAATTTTATTCTTTTACATGTAACTGTCCAGTTTTCCCCACACTACTTATTGAAGGGACCATCTTTTCTCCATTGTATATTCTTGCCTCCTTTGTCATAGATTAGTTGACAATAGGTGTGTGGGTTTATCTCTGGACTTTCTATCCTGTTTTATTGATCTATATTTCTGTTTTTGTGCCATTACCATATGGTTTTGATTACTGTAGCTTTGTAGAATAGTCTGAAGTCAGGGAGCCTGATTCCTCCAGCTCTGTTTTTCTTTCTCAGGATGCTTTGGCTATTCAGGGTCTTTTGTGTTGTAAAATTGTAAAAAAAAATTTTCTAGTTCTGTGAAAAATGCCATTGTTACTTTGATAGGGATTCCATTGAATCTGTAGATTGCCTTGGATAGTATAGTCATTTTGATAATATTGATTCTTCCAATCCAAGAACATGGAATATCTCTCCATTTCTTTGTGTCGTCTTTGATTTCTTTCATCAGTATCTTATAGTTTTCAGAGTACAGGTCTTTTGCCTCCTTAAGTAGTTTATTCCTAGGTATTTTATTCTTTTTGATGCAATGGTAAATGGGATTGTTTCCTTAATTTCTCTTTCTGAACTTTCGTTGTTAGTGTGTAGGAATGCAAGAGATTTCTGTGTATTAATTATGTATCCTGCAACTTTACCAAACTCATTGATGAGCTCTAGTAGTTTTCTGGTAGCATCTTTAGGATTTTCTATGTATAGTATCATGTCATCTGCAAACAGTTTCAGTTTTACTTCTTCTTTTCCAATTTGGATTTCTTTCTTTTTCTTCTCTGATTGCTGTGGCTAGGACTTACAAAACTATGTTGAACAAAAGTGGCTAGAGTGGACATCTTTGTCTTGTTCCTGATCTTTGAGAAAATGCTTTCAGTTTTTCACCATTGAGAATAATGTTTGCTGTGGGTGTGTTGTATATGGCCTTTATTATGTTGAGGTATGTTACCTCCATGTCCACTGTCTGAAGAGTTTTTATCATAAATAGGTGTTGAGTTTTGTGAAAAGCTTTTTCTGCATCTATTGAGATGATCATATGGGTTTTTTTCTTCAGTTTGTTAATGTGGTGTATAAATTGATTGATTTGTGTATGTTGAAGAATCCTTGTGTCCCTGGGATATATTCCATTTGATCATGGTGTGTGATCTTTTTAATGTGTTGTTGGATTCGGTTTGCTAGTCTTTTGTTGAGGATTTTTGCGTCTACGTTCATCAGTGATATTGGCCTGTAATTTTCTTTGTTTATGATATCTTTGTCTGGTTTTGGTATCAGGATGATGGTGGCCTCATAGAATGAGTTTGGGAGTGTTTGTTCCTCTGCAATTTTTTGGAAGAGTTTGAGAAGGATTGGTGTTAACTTTTCTCTAAATATTTGATAGAATTCACCTGTGAAGCCATCTAGTCCTGGACTTTTGTTTGTTTGAAGTTTTTAATCACAGTTTCAATTTCATTACTTGTAATTGGTCTGTTCATATTGTCTATTTCTTCCTGGTTCAGGCTTGGAAAGTTGTACCTTTCTCAGAGTTTGTCCATTTCTTCTAAGTTGTCCATGTTATTGGCATATAGTTGCTTATAGTAGTCTCTTTTGATGCTTTGTATTTGTGGTGTCAGTTGTAACTTCTCCTTTTTCATTTCTAATTTTATTGATTTGAGTCCTGTCCCTTTTTTTGCTGATGAGTCTGGCATAAGATTTATCAATTTTGTTTATCTTCTCAAAGAAACAGCTTTTAGTTTTATTGATCTTTGCCATTGTTTTCTTCATCTGTATTTCATTTCTTTCTGGTCTGATCTTTATGATTTCTTTCATTCTACTAACTTTGGGTTTTGTTTGTTCTTCTTTCTCTAGTTGCTTTAGTTGTGTTTTTAGGTTGTTTATTTGAGATCCTTCTTGTTTCCTGAGGTAAGATTGCATTGTTATAAACCTCCCTTTCAGAACTGCTGTGTCCCATAGGTTTTGGATCATTGTGTCTTCATTGTTGTTTGTCTCTAGGTATTTTTTTATTTCTTCTTTAATTTCTTCAGTTATCCATTGGTTGTTTAGTAACATTGTTTAGCCTCCATGTGTTTGTGTTTTTTACAGTTTTTTTCCTATAATTGATTTCTAATCTCATTGAGTTGTGGTCAGAAAAGATGCTTGATATGATTTCAATTTTCTTAAATTTACCAAGGCTTGATTTGTGGACCAGGATGTGAACTCTCCTGGAGAATGTTCCATGCGCACTTGAGAAGAAAGTGTATTCTGCTGCTTTTGGATGGAATGTCCTATCAATATCAATTAAGTCTCTCTCGTCTAATGTGTCATTTAAGGCTTGTGTTTCCTTATTGGTCTTCTGTGTGGATGATTTGTCCATTGGGGTAATTGGGGTGTTAAAATCCCCCACTATTATTGTGTTACTGTCAGTTTCTCATTTTATGGCTGTTAGCATTTGCCTTATATATTGAGGTGCTCCTATGTTGGGTGCATATATATTTACAATTGTTATGTCTTCTTCTTGGATTGGTCCCTTCATCATTATGTAGTGTCCTTCCTTGTGTCTTGTAACAGTCTTTATTTTAAAGTTTGTTTTGTCTAATTAAAAAGCTGCTACTCCAGCTTTCCTTTGGTTTCTATTTGTATGGAATACCTTTTTCTATCCCCTCATTTTCAGTCTGTATGTGTCCCTAGAGCTGAAGTGGGTCTCTTTTAGACAGCATATACATGGGTCTTGTTTTCGTATCCATTCAGCCAGTCTTTTTCTTTTGGTTGGAGCATTTAATCCATTTACATTTAAGGTAATTATTGATATGTATGTTCCTATTGACCTTTTCTTAATTGTTTTGGATTTGTTTTTGTAGGTCTTTCTTCTTCCCTTTCTCTTTTGTTCTCTTCTCTTGTGATTTGATAACTATCTTTGGTGTTGTGTTTGGGTTGCTTTTTCTTTTTGTGTGTTATGTATTGTAATTTTTTGGTTTGCTGTTCCCATGAGGTTTTGATATAGCAGTCTATATGTATACAAGGTTGTTTTATGTTGCTGGTCTCTTTCCCACCTAGGGAAGTTCCTTTAACATTTGTTGTAAAGCTGGTTGTTTTTGTTTTATGTACTTACTTTTTGCCATATAAAGTTAGCATTTTTATGAGGTTAAATCTATCATCTTCCTCATGGGTTCTG